ATCGAATATGAAAAGGGCGGGTATCGAGGGTGTGGGGAACCCGTTTTGAATGACACGCGGTCAAGTCAGAGCGAACAGTCTTAGAATGATTGTTGCTGCTGCTGCTGTTGCTGTTGTCGCTGTTGTCGTTGTTGTTGTTGAACTCTCGCTACTGAAGAATAACTATGGTTGATCCCCTGCTCCGGTGACCATTGCGTATTTCAGTGGAGGTGCTTCCCAGGGGTTCGCACACTTTTAAACATCAATTAAAGTCATTGTTTAGCCAGGACCCCCGCTCCCGCCTGAGACTTCCTCGCATTTTACTCAGGAGTCGCGCTCTCGCATGGGACCTCCTTACAATTTGTTCAGGAATCGTTCTGTCGGCGCTCTGGAGTCACGCTCTCGCTGGAGACTTGTTTGCAATGTGCTGAAGAATCGCGCTCTTGCGTTGGAGTTCGCCGCACTTTGCTCAAGCGCCGCGCTCCCGATACTCATGCACCCAAGCGTCGCGCTTACGCTTAGGACCCCTGAGTTAGAATCGGGATACCGCTGCCCTTCGTGGCCCCGTTGCAGCCCTTCGTGGCTCCCTCGCTGCCCTTCGTGGTCCCGTTGCAGCCCTTCGTGGCCCCCTCGCTGCCCTTCGTGGACAAGTTGCAGCCCTTCGTGGCTCCCTCACTGCCCTTCGTGGCCCCGTTGCAGCCCTTCGTGGCCCCTCTCGCTGCCCTTTGTGGCCCTGTGGCCCCGTTCCACCCCTTCGAGCCTCCCCGCTGCCCTTCGTGGCCCCGTTGCAGCCCTTCGTGGCCCCCTCGTTGCGCTTCGTGGCCCCATTGCAGCCCTTCTTGGCCCCCTCGTTGCCCGTCGTGGCCCCGTTGCAGCCCTTCGTGACCCCATCGCTACCCTTCGTGACCCCGTTGCCGCCCTTCGTGGCCCCCTCGCTGCATTTCGTGGCCTCATATATGTATGCCCTTCGTTGTCCCCGCTCGTTCGCGCCCGTCGTGGCCCCATCTGCATGCGCTTCGTGGCCCCGCTGTCGCCCTTCGTGGCCCTCTCGCTGCCCTTTGTGGCCCCGTTGCTGCCGTCAGTGGCCCCGTCCCTTCCCTCCGCGGTTCAAAAAACGTGTGCCCTTCGTGCCCCCCGCTCGTTCGCGCCCGTCGTGGCCCCATGTGCATGCCCTTCGTGTCCCCGCTGTCGCCCTTTGTGGCCCCCTCGCTGTCCTACGTGGCCCAGTTGCTGCCCTCATTGGCCCTGTTCTTGCTTTCTGTGGCCCCGCATTATCTGCCCCTCGTGGCCCCCGTTCGTTCGCGCTCTTCGTGGCCCCATACGCATTCCCTTCGTGTCCCCGTTGTCGCCATTCGTGGCCTACGTCGTGCCCTTGCGTGGCCCTGGTGTCGTTCTCTCTCTCGCTCTCGCTTTCGCTCGTCGTCGTCGTTGCCGTCGCAGCCGTCGCCGTCGACGTCGTCGTCGTGGTCGGTCCCCTGTCCGTCCCTCTTGGGGTTGGGTTGCCGGCGATCAGCGCTGCCGCTGGCCAGGCCGACGGTCCGCGGCCGCCCCGCCGCTTGCCGGGGCCCGGCCTGCAGGGAAGAAAGACATACACCCCAAAATGGGCACGATCGAAGACGAAGAGGGCGGGTATCGAGGGTTTGGGAACTACGCGTTAACGGGCACTCGAGCAGACAAGAGCGAGTCTTACACTTAATGTTGTTGGTGTTGCTGTTGTTGTTAATGTGGCTGTTGTCGTTGTCGTTGTTGTTGCTTTTGCTGGTAATGTTGTTGATGTTGGTGTTGGTGTACGTGTTTATGGTGTTGTAGGTGTTGCTGTTGGTGGTGTCATTGTTGTTGTTGGCTTCGTTGTTGCTGCTCCTGTTGTTGGTTGTGGTGGTGTGGCTGCTGTTGCTGGCGTTGCTGGTGTTGTTGTGTGTGTGTGTTGTTAGTGTTGTTGCTGTTGTTGTGGTGGTTGTTGTGTTGTTAGTGGTGTTGCTGTTTGTGTTGTTGCTGTTGTTGTTGTTGATGCTGGTGTTGCTGATGCTGGTGTTGCTATTGTTGTTATTGTGTGTTGTCGGTGTCGTTGTTGGTGTTGCTGTTGTTGTTGTTGATATTGGTTGTGTTGTGATTATTTTCTCTGTTGCTGTTGTTATTGTTGTAGTTGTTGTTGTCGTGCCTCTCGCGACCGGGCCCGCGACCCACCCGCGACCCACCCGCGACCCACACTACTTCGACGAACATTCGGCGTTTGCGGCGGGCTCGGTGCATCATTAGACTTACAATCGGCGCGCATGGCGGGCTTCTTCAGAGCCTCGCAGACCACCGACGACCCCGCCGCCCCCTCACTCTTACCCACAAGCGAGGGGTGCTACATGTCCCCGAGTTGGGTCCAAAATGGTTGGTCTATTCGAGCAACCCACGGAGCCTGGGATAGGGGTCGACCTATCCCGTGTTATATGGGGTGACGGGGGAGGGGTAATGCTCGTAAGGTGAGGGAAAACTTGAGCAGCCCAATCATCGGTAGGAGCAAACCCAATGTCCGAGCTTCTTGCGAATGGGGGTCGTAGGATTGCCATTGACGGATCAAGCGCGCCAGCCGAGCGTATTGGGATTTGGTTTGGAAGCGACTTTGCCCCCCCAGCGATTTCCAACCCTTTCTCTTCCCTGGAGGGCAGCTGGAAAAAGGGGAGGGAAGACGATCAGCGAACGTGGAAGTGGCCAGAGATGAAGTAAAGTCGGCTTAGCCTACAGTGAACCCGAAACCGAATAAGGTAAGGTGGCCATGGGCCACGGGTAGGAGCATTTGGCGGTCATCCGCCAGGGTCGGAAACAACGGAACGTCAGGGCACATACATTTGTCCCATCTTCTTTGTACGGAAGGTAACCGTCGTGTCGACGCGGCGGTGACCCCGCCGCGGGCATTCATGGCGATCGAAATGCCGCCGATCGTTCAAGGTGGAACGATCCACGCGGCGTCAGAGACCAACGCCATCGGTCATCACGGCACGAGCCCGCAGTGTTTGATCCCGTCTCTTGTTTCCGTTCCGCCCCCCCCCCCTCACATTCATCCCAGGTCGGTCGGATGTTTACATGTATGCGTTTCACATCGTTTTTCAGAACAGCTGCAGGACAACAAATACGCTCTCTTGTTCGACATTCTGTCAAGATGGACACGCTCCACTCACCCGGAATTCGTACATAGTCTTCAGTTTATGATTTCTTTTTTGGAATCTGTGGTGATTCGCGTCTACTCACCAGCACATTGCCAGGCGAGTTGCTCTGATCAGGGAAGTGTCGGAATATGCAGTGGGACAGAGACTTAGGTCAGCCGTCAAGCCAGAGCTGGGAATCAGCCTCTGCATGAACTGCAGGAATTGCTGCGCCTGCCTTGAAAGAGGGCAGCGGAAACAGTGGAGAAGGAGGAGGGGAGGGGAGGGGGAGTGCGACGAATGAAGTGGGATGAGCAGGAGGATGAGGTGGACGGGGTAGGAAGGGGGCGACGACCACGACACTGACGAGGGCCAGGATCATGAGGAGGCAAAGAATTTGTGGGTTCTCAGTTTTCCTTGGCCCGAGAACGAACTCACCTTTTAGGACCCTCTTGGGTCGCTCTTTCGAGGCCGAGCCAGGCCTCTTCCAGGACTTCCTTGGGATTTTGTGTGTGGTTTTGAGGCCTCGGAGGCTCATCAGAATCGACACGGCGAGACGGCACATAACTATCATAGACATGAATTTAGGTCTGTCAAGTCCAATCGGCTTGTCAGGGGTCTCCTTGTGAGCCTTGAGGCCACTTGGAGCCGTCTTGGGGTGGTCTGCGGGCCTCTCGCCGAGAGGCCCGCACTCCTCCGAGAGGCTCTCGGAGGCATGTGTGAGTTGATAGCGAGCCATCGTGGACAGTCTTGGAGGCCATCTTGCGCCATCCGAGGGCCTCGCGGAGCCATCTTCGACGCTCTGGCGCGTCGCCCCATTCCCCCACCCCACCCGTCCCCCCGTCCAGGTTCAGCGGAGGAGGTGGCCAGAGGGGTAAGTTGCTCCCTTGAGGGGAAAGGAAGAATGAGGTTGTCAGAAACAGAGGACGAAGAGGCTGCCTAAACCGCCTACGCCCAACGGGCTGGCTGGTGGGAAGCCTTAATTCCGGTGTGTCTGAGACACGCTGCGGTCGATCCGCGTCGGTATCCGGCAGTCATACAAGTGCGCATGCCTTGGTTGCCTCATACCGCGTACGTTGCTAGTTGGCATAGTTGTCGTGTACCCGTGCAGTTAGGTAGCATTGCCTTGGTGTCGCAGGCCATACGATGGGGAGTGGTGTAGTGCCGTCCTGGCGGTCTGTCCATTGCTTCTGCCTGCCAGTGCTTGTTGCAGCTATGAATGCGTGGCGGTTTTGCCCAGCGGCGAGGGTTATGGCGCCTCACATTGCCGAAGGCCTGTATGTTGCGGATGCCCCGTTCGATGGCAGTGTGATTATTGCGTTCAGGTTGCAATTCAAATGCGTTGCCGCGCAGATTGGTCAGTGCGTATGTGGGGAAATGCGCAGCAAGGCTGCTCTAGGAGCGTGACGCGACTCTGGAGTTATCCTCCGCGCTATGGTTCTACGTGGGATATACCCGTACCCAGAGCTCATTTAATGTTTCAGCATTTGATGTTGCTTCTCTCATTCAGATCGTTACACGGGGTCATATCAGTCCATCGTTTTTGGAAGCGAGGCCACCTAACATTGCACGAGGCAATGTATTTGCCCCTTGGATTTTGTGTTCGGGGTATTCAAGAATGGTTCCTCGGTTGTATGTCCTCCTCGGTCTGGCAACAATGACTCTCTTGATGCATTACGGAGTATGCATCGTGTGGTTTGCATGTGTGGCCATTTTGCTAGTTGGATCAAGATCGTCATTCTTATGCGCAGTTATGTTGGTAGCGCCCTCACGTTAGTAGTGGGGGCACTTACTTATGCGTGTGGTGTCCCTGCGTTTGTTGATGCGTTCCTATTGTGCACGTAATTGAGGCCACGCTCATTGTGCTTTCTGTTGCATGGCAGATGGGAGGTTCGTGCTCCGACTCCGACGGAGTTCTCGGAGGCTCACCACGGGTACGGTTTTCATCAGAGGTGACGGTGTTCGTCCGAGCGTGTTGAGTGTGAATTCTTTACGCTTCGCGTATCCCCACCAGCCCATCTCACAGCAGCAACTCTTGCGAAGCATGCCGACAGTCGTGTTTTGCAGGCGTGTGTCCGCTTGGCCCCGCATATCTCCCCTGTTCCTCCTTCCTCCCGCCTCCTTGTACATCCTCTTTGTGGGGGGAGCGGGAGAAGGACGAGGCGGAGGAGGAGGGAGAGAAAGCGCTCCTCGTGGTTTGAGTCGTTTGGGGTTTCTCGTCCTGGTGTGAGTCGTTCGGGCCCTTCTTCCTGGTGTGAGTGGTTCGGGCTCTTCGTGGTGTGAGTCGTTCGGGCTCTTCGTCCTGGTGTGAGTCGTTCGGGCTTCTCGTGGTGTGAGTTGTTCGGGCCCCTCGTCCTGGTGTGAGTCGTTCGGGCCCCTTCTCCTGGTGTGACTCGTTCGGGCTCCTCGTGGTGTGAGTCGTTCGGGGCCCTCGTCGTGGTGTGAGTCGTTCGGGCTCCTCGTGGTGTGAGTCGTTCGGGCGCCTCGTCCTGGTGTGAGTCGTTCGGGCCCCTCCTTCTGGTGTGAGTCGTTCGGGCTCTTCGTGGTGTGAGTCGTTCGGGCCCCTCGTCCTGGTGTGAGTCGTTCGGGCTCCTCGTGGCGTGAGGCGTTCGGGCACCTCGTCCCCTTTTGGGGCGTCTTGGGGGCCTCTTGGCGGCCCCAGGGGCTTCTAGGAGCGTCTTGGGTGCCTTGGGGGAGCCTCTTCGGGCCTCTTGGGAGCCTCTTGGAGGCCGTTTGGGGCGTCTTGGGGGCCTCTTGGCGGCCCCAGGGGCTTCCAGGAGCGTCTTGGGTGCATCGGGGGAGCCTCTTGGGGCCTCTTGGGGGCCTCTTGGGGGCATCTTGGGGGCCTCTGGGAGGCCTCTTGGGGGCCTCCTGGGGACCTCTTGGGGCCATCTTGGGGCCTCTTGGTGCCTCCTGGGCGCTTTTTGGGGTCATCTTGGAGGGAATGGATCAAAGAAGAGGGGAGCTTTAATGAGCGCTGCCCCCTCAGAAGGGCAAACTGAGCCCCAAACCTTCGTAAAATCAATGATTTTGCCTTGAAGGAAGAGGAACACTTTCATGAGCGCGGCCCCCTCAGAAGGCCAACATGGGGCCAAAACCGTAGTAAAATCAATGATTTTGGCTTCACAGAGGAGGAGAGGTTTTTTTTCTGCCTCCCCCCGTCGGGGCCAGAATCCTCGTGAGGGTCGTCGTTTTTTAGCCCTCCCAGGAGTCGAAAATGACCCCCCTGACGACCCGCGAGGCGCCCTCTCCAGGTCCAGGGGGAGGGGGTAGGGGGAGGGGTAAACCCCTCCCCGAAGGGGAAGAAGGGGGGTTGGGGGGTTGAGAACAGAGAGAGCTCGCTAAACCACTCACACCCAAAGGGCTGGTGGGATTTCAAGTATGTGCGCACCCAGGGTATGTTTGAGGAGCGGGGAACATCGACAGGGCATCGACATCACGCTGGGTCGTTTCTTCCTCATGGTTGACGGCAGGAAATGATGAGTGCGCATCTTGAAGGACTCGAGCAGTGCATGCACACACACGCAAGGTTCTCTAGAATGTAGCAGGTGGCGTCCTCCTCCGCCCTCCTTTCGCCGCTCCCCACTGGAATGAGCGTGGAAGGCACCGATGTATCCGTCGCCGCCGCCGCCCAAGAAGGCCAGGACCCCACCACTTGTTGTTTTCCTGAGCGGCTTGAATATGGCGGTGTTCAGAGGGACAGAATTGGCCCCTGCTTCGGGGGGCCCAGCTGCCAACGTATGCCAAAGTGGTTGGCGGACGGTGGTTGCAGAGGAGGGCAGTGGGGGCTTGGTGTGATTTGGTAGTTCTTGGCCGCGAGGGCGAGTGTGAACATGAACACCATCTGGGGTACCGCAACCAGGCGCGATCTGTTGCGTGCCTGCGGGTTCCACACGGCACTCGGGCTAAGGACACCCACTTTGCAGAGGCTCGACTTCGCTGCAGGCCAACACCATCTGGCCCCTGTCAGGAGGACACACACACCATGCCGGGTCCCAGGGTGGCCCTGGCCAGACATTGTGGTGGTAGTGTGCAGAGGGCCCTCTGCGTATTCAGGGAGATGGACCCGCCGGCATGGGGCCCAAATGTTGCTGCACATCCTGCGTCGGCGCTTTCCGGGGAGTTCCAAGTCGTCCTGAGCGGCCGGCCGCGTGGGGCCCGTATCAGGGCCAGAGAGAAGGCTCTTATGAACAAGCACCATGTTGTGCCAGGTACAGTCGGGGCGCTGAAGAAGGAACCCTTTTCGTTGGGGAGGGGCTCGGTGTTCCTTGATTGTTTCACAGTTTGTCTCAGGTTATCTTGAGGTTTTCCATGGGAAATCGAAGTTTATCTTATGGGGAAAAAGTGGTCTCGTTCCTTATTTTGTGTTCCTTAGGTCAACGCCCCGACTGTACCTCCTGGGCCCCAGGATTATGGGTAGGCCCTCCTAGCATCCTGCGGTGGGGCGTGAGCACGGTGCCAGGGCCCAGGATGACATTGGCCAGGCGTGGTGGTGTAAAGGAGCCTTCCGCGCATGATATTCTGGACGTGTTCGTACGGTAGGTTCATTCGGCGATGGCGCGCCGGCGACGCTGGCGAAGGTACTCAAGGTTGAATTCCGCACGACGGGGCGACGCCGAAGCACCGAAGGACACGGTAACGCCGCAGGACCCGACGGGATTCAATGTTGAACGATCGGGGCCGCGATCGATTGAAGTTTGGACGCTCGACGCGGTGTCAAACACTTGTGCGCGCGTCGACGCCGCACGAGCCTACCGTATCGAGGCGTTGTTCCTCGCTCTTGGCAGGCCGTTGATTTTACAGCGCAGTTGTGGGACGATGCGGTAGCTTCATGCGGCGTTGGCGCGCTGGCGACGCGGGCGAAGGCGTTCAAGGTTGAATTCTGTGACGCGGAAGCGCCGAGGGACGCGGTGACGCCACTGCACCAGGCGGAGTTCAATTTTGAACCGTCGGGGCCGCGATCGATTCAAGGTTGAACGATCGACGCGGTAACCAAAACCTTTGCGCGCGCCGACGCCATACGAACTTACCGTAAGCACGGTGCCAGGGCCCAGGACGGCATTGGCCAGACATGGTGGTGTATTGAAGCATTCTGCGCACGATATTTTGGACGTGATCACATCGAGGCGTCCTTCCTCGCTCTTGGCAGCCCGCTTATTTTACAACGCACTTGTGGGACGATAGTTGTCAGAAGGGAAAACAGACAGGCACAAATAATCGTCGATTCCCAGGTACATATCGAAAATATTGGAAGTGGAGGGGAGGACGAACACCCAGAAAAATATGAAATATGGGATTGCAGCCGCAGGACACGAACATAAAACCGATAAACCGATAAACCGATAAACCGATAAACTATTTCGGTTGATCGGTTTATCGGCAGATCGACCGATAAACCGATATGATTATATCGGTTTATCGGTCGATCTGCCGATAAACCGATCAACCACTAAACCGACTCATCGCATGCGTGCCGGAATCTCAGCACAGTTTATCAGTTTATCGGTTTATCAGTTTATCGGTTTATCGGTTTATCGGTTTATCAGTTTATCGGTTTATCCGAAATAGTTTATCGGTTTATCAGTTTATCGGTATATCGGATGTTTCGGTTTATCGGTTTATTGGTTGATCGGTTTATCGGCCCGGCGTTGTCGTGGTTGTCCAATGGGTAATCCTTCGAAATTCTCTCTCCTCTTCCTCCTAGTCCTCCCCTTCCTCTTCCTCCTAGTCCTCCTCCGCCTCCGCCTCCTCCTCCTCCTCCTCCGCCCTCTTCCTCCTCCCCCCTCCTCCGTTCCGATCCTCCCTCCCTCCCTCCCTCTCCTCCCTCGCCTCCCTCCCTCCCTCACTGGCCCCGACGCCCATGGTTCTCCTAGTCCTCCCTCCCCCTCTTCCTCCTAGTCTCCTCCGCCTCCCCTTCCTCTTCCTCCTAGTCCTCCTCCGCCTCCGCCTCCTCCTCCTCCTCCTCCTCCTCCCTCCTCCTCCTCCTCCTCCTCCTCCTCCTCCTCCTCCTCCTCCTCCTCCTCCCTCCTCCGTTCCGATCCTCCCTCCCTCCCTCTCCCCCCTCCCTCCCTCACTGGCCCCGACGCCCAGTGCCCAGGCCCATCCAGAAAGAAAAACTGGAAAGGGGGGAGGGCGGGAAGGAGAGATGGAGGCAGGGGGGGTTGGATTCGATTCGGGAAGGGGCATTTGAGAAAAGAGGGGATGGAGGGGTGGAGGGAATAGGGATGGGGACGGGGGTTTGGAGTTGGGAAGGAGGGGTGGAGGGAGGAGTGGCGGGGGGAGGGCGGGGTTTGTGGGAAGCAAAATCTGGCGGGGCATTTCGGGCTAGGACGTTTTCGGTTTCTACAGCGCTTTGGCGGGGGTGCCTCCAGTTCCCCCTTCCTCTCCTTCTCTGGGCTTTGGGGGGGTCGCATTTCCCCTCTCCTCCTCCCCCATCCTCCTTCTCCTTCCCCCCTCGGTCTTAGCCGTATCAGGTTATCACTGTAGCGCGAGCTGCGGCGAAAGCTGCTGGCGTCGCGTGTCCTAATGCGGATCCGCGGCGATAGCTGCAGATCTGCGGCCACCCACACTATTGCGGGTCCGCGGCGATAGCTGCAGATCGGTATGGCCGCTTCTTGCGCCATCTGCAAGCAGAGTGCGTCAACGCGCACATGCAAGTGCACGGCCTGGACTTCGCTACTTTTCCATGCCCAGAGTGCAGGACCACGGAACGCCAGCTCCAGTCGATGGAGGCCGCCAGGTTGCAGCGGCAGCAGGTCGTCAGCAGCAGTGGGTCGTCAGCGGCAGCAGGTCACAGGCGCACAGCCGTCTTCCGGATCCCCCTCACCCAGGGGGGGGAGCGCAGGATCACCAGGGAGAACCGCCGCTCCAGGTCGCCGCCTCCCCGCGTCGTGGCCGATTCGCCCATCATGCAGCCCGAGTCGCCCGGTGGGGCCATCGTCCCGGCCGCGTCGCCCACTGGCACGGCCGTCGTCCCGGCCGCGTCGCCCATTGGCAGGGGGCTGTCGCAGTCCATATCCCCATCACAGTCTCAGCCGTCGCGGCCGCAAGGCCCTGCCATCACGGATGCCGATTTCGGTTTCACGTTCACTGACAACACGGCGGCTGGCGGTGACGGGGCCCCGGTGCCAGACCCGTCCTTGGCTGCTATTCGCGCCCTCGACGCCGTGCCGAATGCCGCCGCTTTCCGAACCGCCCTGCATCCGACGGGCTTATTCAACGGCTTGCAGGACGAGCGGGGGACCCGAGAGACAGCCAAGCAGTGGCTGGGCGAGATGCTGGCGGACCCTAGGGACCACAAGGAGGTGGGAATGGATCCCAGCTTCTCAATTCGGCTCCTGCTCCCGCGCCCCTTCCGCACAGCAGTCGTCGCGGTGGCGTCGCGCGAGGGTTGGCAGCTCGAAGCGCTCATGCAAGGTATCACGAGCAACGCGGGCTGGTTGGAGCACCACGCCACGGTGCTCGAGGAAACTGCGGATGAGACGCGCTCCCGCAAGCCGACGATTGCGATCTTCGGCGCGGCTATGCCGTCCACTCGCAAGACCTCCCTCGCCCGCTTCGTCTCGGTCAGCCTGCTGGACGACACTGACGAGGGGCGGCAGCTGCAGGCTTGCACCTGCGGTGACGCCACGCTGAGAGGATTGTTGAATTGTATTTCGACGCATGAGCGCAGCGGGCTGGTCAACGACGAAATCACGACGGCTTACGACACCACCTTCAGCCAGGGGTCGCGCGGGTGTCACTACGCGGGAAAGCCGACGATGCTCAAGTTCGTCAACGGCGAGCGCAGCATCACTATGACTGGGCATGGGACCGTTAATTTGGGCACCTACGGGTTCTTGCACCAGGTGCGGGGGCAGATTCCAGCGGTCGAGGAGGTGCTCCAGCGTGATTCCATTGGCTTCCGCAAGAGGTTCAATACCATTTGGTTTGGCGAGGCGGCTGGCCACCCGACGCAGAACACCGAGCAGTCCACGATTTTGTTGACAGCGTTCATGTCTTGGATGTGTCAGAATGCCCTGCCCCAGCAGGAAGTGCACTGCTTCGATAATTTCTCGCTGTCCATGTATCGGGCCTTCATGAGCGGCATCTCCAATTTCATAGACGAGAATCCAGGCCTCGACCAGCTCATACGGGAGAAAATGCAATTCGCCGACACAGACATCCTGCGGTTGACCAACGTCGAGTTCCGGATGTGCCAGTTCTTAGAGCACACGTCGCCGCTGCGCCTGGTCGAGGAGGGGGCCCCCCCGCGCGACAAGTGGAGCTTGCACGAGCTGTGCCATGCCATCCACGCTTGGCGTCGCCAGGTGAGTCTGTACATCGCGCACACAAAGTGGGGCGCCGTGCACGGGCCCAGGCCCGCTCCCGCGGGGGCCGGGGCGCCTCGGCCCCGCGCGGCCCAGCTGCCCATTGACATGCTGGCGGGCAACTTGATTCTTGCGGATCCGCGGTGCCGTGGCGTCGTGACTTCTGGCGATGCCCTCACGTGGGTGCGCGCTCGGCTCATGGCTCGTGGCGAGAGGGATGTGGCTGGCCGGGTGCACGGGGCCATCCAAGCAGCAGCAGCGGCCGGGGTGGTCGAGATCATCGCGGGTGCCCCTGCCGCCGAGGACGGCGCAGACGCCGCCCCGCGGGCT